TCATAGGCTTTTTGTGAATTGGAATCAGTGGATTGAATTCATAGGACTTCTTTGATTCAGAGTGAGACTACTAATGAAGGCTTTGCAACGGTGGATATGTTGGAGAAACTGTCGAGCATATTGCCGACTCCCGAGGAGGCTGAGATGCTCCGGGCCTATCATGGCGACCTCACACTACTGCGGCCGATCGAGCGGCGGCTCCTACCTTTAGCGCTGATGAAACGGCCGCAGTTTCGAATCAAGGCTATGATAACGTTCCTGACCTTCCCAGACCAGGTAAGAGGTGAGGGCTCGTGCTACTGAAGAGCCTCCTCGTGTTAGTTGAGTGGAGTAAGGAGATCAATAGCGGTATTGCAGGAAGCCGCGGATCAAGTGCGGAGCTCGAACAAACTACGTCGTCTGTTGTTCCTGGTGAGTGGGAGGAGTAGATCTGGTCCATAGTGAAGGAGTATGAATTCGGGTTAAAGTATACAAAAACCAACTAGAGCTTCCAAAAATTTCCTCAAAATCTTCACATTACCCCCAACACACGTAGTTGAGCATGTTTTTATTTCCCTGCACTGAGTGGAGGAGATAGGGAATAGGTGTAGATAGTAAAGTCAGTGTGAATTCTCGATATCATTACGTGGACAGCGCACGTGGTTGTGTTGGGTCCACCACTGTTGAGATCAGACAACTCAGCAAGAGTCGTTAACAAGTGGCTCTAAGCTCATGAGCAATATGCTAATCATACCACCAGAATTGGGGTTGAGAGCAGCTGAATATCGAACTTTCACGACTCGTTTTACGTGGAGTGGCGTAAAACTCGGTGAAAAAAACGCGATATTTTCGGTGGTATGCAGTGGTCGTGAAATATATTCATCACTAGTGTTATTCATATCGCGGCCGCCCGTGAAACTCCATTGTTGTTGACAGGTTCTAAAATTCGGCAATTTTGTGAATCACGGGTCGACGGATTTGACCACAAGAGGGTATACGTTGGAGTCACTACTGAAGTTGATGGAGTTCAAGTCTACCAACGTGCCGGGGGTGACGATGCTGCATTACGTGGCGTGCCGCCTTATGGAAGGGGAAAAGGGCGACCAGTTGGACCCAATGAAGTTAGTGGAAGAACTCAGTCTGGTGGGTTTGGGGTGGGAGCGATAACGTGTATTTGCTTTTCCTTCGTGAAGGTGGTAACGGCAACTGGGGAGAGCACTGAAGTGATCGTATCTACTCTTACGTCACTGGAAAGAGATATGCAGATGTTCCAGAGGGAGGCTGTTCAGCAGGCCTCGCAGTACTCGGAGGAGGCCCTTGGCAGGTGATGAGTTCATTCGGTCTGTGGGTGAAGACCAAGATGACATTCTTTATGTAGGTTGGAATCATTCACTCGAGAAGCGTCAGATAAAGTGAACGGGGTGAAGGTGGAGTGGGCAGCGTGTGAGGAGGCTTTGAAGGAACTACGACGGTAAGGATGAACAACGGTGGTGAATTTGTAGGAATTGTGGTAGACAGGTTTTTCGGCGAAGACCCAAGACGGTGTAGTGTGGAGGATTTCTTTGGAACAGTGAAGGCGTTCTTGGACACCTACAAACGAGCTTGTGGTGACATACGGAGGAACCCTAAGAAATTTCAGCAGCTTATATACCGTAAGTTGGCCGAATCGTACCCGTATGATGATGTGGCTCAGCACCGCAGTCTAAGGGTCCTGGTGGATGAAGGAGGTTTGCATGGTGTAGATTAGCGAGTGACAAGTGGGGAAATGCAGGTAGACTCGCTCACTGTGTTACGATCTAG